GTGAGATTCGACCTGGGTTTGTGGTGGTGGTGTTGTGGTGCGGAACGGGGGGATGTCCTCGACGGGCGTGGCGTTTGTTGAGGCATGATGGTCTTGGGCTGTTGCTGAGGCGGCGATGCGCACTGTGCGCACTGGTGTTGTTTGGGGGGTTGTCGTTGCAAGAAGCTTTAGTCTGTGGGTGTAATGGAGGGATCTGGTCAAGATCGTCATTGCTGCTTTGGGGGCTGTGGCTTTTTTAGTGAGGTAGTATCGGGAGGTGGTAGTGTCCGTATGCACAATGATGTTAGGGCTTTTTATAAACGCCGTAGATCTATAGAAACTTAATTTCGTTAGTGGTGTCAACTTTCATCTATGCTAGCTAGGGTTTGCCTGGACATACCTCTGATAGGGGATACTTAAGCTATTGAAGCGAATTTTGATCTCATGGAGAAGATTAGGATTCCTCGTCGCGACAAAACCCGGATAAAGATAAAAAAAGAAGAAAAAACCGGAGAAAAAGAATACTAACTCCGTGGTGGAGTATGTCTACGCTAGAGGGCCCACGTGGAAGTGCCGTCATTCTTGCGACTGTCACGAAGCCAATCCTGCATGATCGCCTTATCTTGGGATCGTACGAAATTTAGAGCTAGATCTTCAGGGTCGTGCGTGGTTTAAGGTTCATACATGGTTCTTTGGGTTCAGATAATCTACTTCACAGGTTATATCAAACTTGTTCCTTCAATAGCGGCAGATACGGACGAGTAAACATGATATTTGCTATAGACAGTGGCCGATGAGAGTATGGGAATACTTGTGATGGCTCTAACTATCATCCCAAGGTTCCTAAGCATTCGCCTTTGCCTTGATGGTACCAGGACAGTTCTTGCTTTCGAAAACTTTGACATCTCCAAATAAGGTTAGTCGCATGCCGAAATTTCTTTGATCGGGCTAGAGTGGGCCCCTTTCGGAATCCTCCCGAGTCCTCCCCGAGTCCGATGGACGGAGTACTCAGTACTATACACTAAGTACACATAAAGGTTTATAGAGCTATTGTGTGATAGTAGTGTTCAAACCTCTATGAAGTAGGAAATATTTCCGAAGAGCTATTCTATTATTTAAAGTATAAAAGTATCAACTTTAATGAATGTGTCGTCCGATTCCGATCTCGCCGATCTGGGTGCTTTGCGTCAGTGCTTTGTCTGTTACTCAATACGGTAAATGGAAATAGCAACGTTTGATAGCTACGGAATGGGAGCCCCGCTTCGTGAGCGCGCTTGTTCATTGGATCAACTGTTTCATGGCAAATCCGGTTACTGGATGTGGGACTTGCACTGTCGTTGTAGTGACGAAGAAGTAGGCTGTTGCTCTTTTTGGAACATGGCTTAGCTCTCTAGCTTTGGTGCTTCGTTCCATGTATAAGCATGTAGTCTAAAGTTAAGGTTATACTCTAGTCAGGGATGTGATGTAAGTACAACTCATACTCGGAGGGTAATTATACTAATCTTGTTGTTTACCTCAGCGTTATTTACATATAGTACTGTTCGCTCGCAAGCCTGTTCTAAGGACACTGCAGCCAGTGTTATGAGCAGTCACCGTCATCAAAGTTACTAGACAACTGATCCACAGCATCAAGCGATCACCAAAGCCCTTCAACGAAGTAGTATGAGAGGTCTCCCATACCATTCTCCTCACCTGCCACTTGACCATTACCAAGACAACGGAAGCGATTCGCCGAGTTGTACTGAAAGTTAAAATGCTCGGCGCCGATACTGTCAAGAGATTTCTTGAAATGACTGGTTGTCCCCGCATAAGGCGCCGTGACCTGCCCCGAAGACTTGCCGTTCTTGTACCAGCTCCGGCAATTATCGGCCCAGGCTGTCCGCTTAAAGTATTCCTGCGCCCATACATTGTAGTCATCGACAGCCTCTTTCTTAACTTCCATTGACCTGTGACATTATTGGTTAATTCCGCCAACCGTACCAGTCAAAGGTGAGCTTACTTGATGTCATGCGTGGCCATGTGCTGGGCCCACCTCATGATGTAGTCGCATACGAAAGAGATTCCACCCAGAAGTGATCCATTCGAAACAGTGAAGTTTGGCCCACCAATAATGAAGTAATTGGGCATTCCATTCACTTGCACAGAGAAGAATGCCTCTGGGTTGTGCTCCCACCGCTCGTCCAGAGTAGCGTTGTCCCTCCCTGACATTTTCCATCGAGGAACAAAGGATGTGTCAAAACCAGTAGCGCAGATGATCAGATCAAACTCTTCTTCCTTTCCATCAGCCGTCTTTATTCCCTTCTCTGTGATACAGTCAATTGCTTCCCAGCACATGTGTGTGTTCGGGTTCTCAAAGGATTCCAGATACCCATCACAGGGCGTTAGCCGGCGACAACCCGGGCTGAAATCCGGCTTCATTTTAGAAACGATCGATGGGTCATGGCTATTTTTCAGTCTTTCTTGCATCTGCTCTGTGGCGATCTGGGTTGCCAGCTTATTGAAAGTGTGATCTTTCAGCATACCATAGGCGAACTCATTAACACTGAAGTTGGAGCATTAGTGATAGCCTCTAGCAAAGTCTACGAGCAATTACTGTTCCATACCTGTTTTCGAGTTCTTTGCGCATCTTGAAGAAGGCCACCGGGTCGTCTCTGAATCTCTTCTTTTCCTCTTCAGTGTATGCAAAATTTCTCCCATCCCTTGTCAACTGGCCGCTGAAGTTGGACGCAATCCATGTTGGGTTGCGGACATAGTTAACCATCTTGGCCACCTGTGAGTGCATCGCTGCGACACACTGGACACCCGAGGAGCCGTTTCCAATGACTGCTACGCGCTTGTTCTTCCATTCGTATGATTCGTCCCTAGTTGATATTAGTTTACTTTGCATGTCTCAAGCAGGTCAGGAAGAGAATACCAGGCCGCAGTGTGAACCAGTTTACCGTTAAATTCACTCATTCCTGGGATGTTTGGCAACTTCCATTTGCTTTCGCATGTGGTCAGCAAGCGCCGAAAAACTGAAGAACAACTGCTTTTACCTTAATGGACCGGATGCGCTAACAAATATTTCGGCTTCATCCTCCTTGATCACACCGTTTTGCTCGACCTTCACCTTCCATTTGCCAGCTGCTTCGTCCCATGCTGCCTCTACCACCTTGGAGTTGAGCTCAATATTGTCATACAGATTCCATTTGCGCGCTGTCCTCTGTATATACTCTTCGATCTCGGGGCCGGGGGCGTAAAAATGCGAATAGTTGGGGTTTGGTTCGAATAAGAAAGTATAAGCATCTGGTAGTCATTCGCTCAAGGTTAGCATACTGCTTGGTGCTGAATCTGATAAGCGCAATCTCACGGGCTGGGACATCACTAAAATAGTCCAATTGATACTGATGAGTGACTACTACTCGACGAATCTCAAAGATTAATTCTTACCAAGCAACGCCTGGGTATCGGTTCTCAAACCAGGTTCCGCCCACGTCTGCATTCTTCTCATAGATCACAAAATCCACCACATCCTCTAGTTTGAGTCCATGTTTGATTTTGTGGGCGAGGGTCAAGCCGCCGAAGCCGGCTCCTGCGCAGATAATTTTGATCTTCCTGGGAGTAAAAGCGACTTCTTCCTTGACTGGAACCCAGTTCGCAGGAGTCTGGCCCTGGGCGACAAGGCCGGCCGACGTGACTGGGTGTCCGTTTGATGTGTCCTCGGGGCGTTTCATGGTGGCAATGTGTGTTGGGAAGTGTGTGGCAGGAGGATCTGCTCCGCGGAGCTCCTAAGTGCTATATAATCCATTGGCATCGGAATAGGTGCCACTGCTAGTGGCAAGCACTATCTCCGGGGGAATGTCCGTCTTACCGTGCCATCGCTGCCATCCCTGTGGATCGGGAGCAGGCAGCGCTACCGAAGTCTCACCCCAATTAATCCCAATATATTTACGACAACATGGACCTTGACCCCCACCGAACCCCCGACTCCGCTGGAGCCCGTTCGGGGCTAAGTGGCGCGTGCCTCGCGCCGGCGTGGCGCTATGCCAACCCTAATGTACGGCCTCGCACGGGGTAGTTCTCGCATTGGATGGCCCAACCGCCAATGTGGAGATCACTACGTACTCCATCGTGCACGATGCAGGGGTTACTTTGGCTCTCTAACCCTGCACGATCGCTCCGGATGACCATTCAGAAAGCATTGCTGTGCGCAAAGCATCTCTCAGTGGCGAGATTGCGATCAACATATTATATCCCTCGCGACTAGTGCAATGGCTTCATGTCACTACTAACTAGCCGCGAGCTAGTCTCTGGACTATTGCAACTTCATCAATCTCATACGCAGAGTAGACAGGATGCCGATCCACCGGGGTGCGGTCTTATGCGGCCATCAGCCATCCTTCTTGCAAGCCCTCGTTGTCGGAGTCCGGACGAACAGGGTTCGGAAGGATTACTGTACATTAGAAGCCCTAAAGCCAACACGCGAATGGAATCTCACCCTTGCATAACACAACAAAGTTTTTGGTACCTTCATAGACTAGAATTTAGTGTTCTTAGCCATATATATACCGCTTCTCATGCTATTTCTCTCTTCGCTGTCCCTGGCCGACCTGCCGACTCTGACGCATCGACGCCCATGTCTGCCTCCGGAGACTTTGGGCCAGCGCCCCCGGGCGTCGACCTCTCGGAGAACCAAGATGGCTCCATGCTTGGAGCGGTCATTACCCTAATCATCCTGGGGACACTGTCCGTCGTACTGCGGGTATACGCCCGGACTGAGTTCAAGAAGTTCCAGTTTGCAATTGACGATTATCTGAGCTTTGCTGCCTTGGTAAGTCGCCTTCAAGGCCGAAGCCAAGCATGCGCGAGTCATAGCTCATTCTCCCCGCCATCATTTAGTTATTTGCCTACTCGCTCGGTATATGTGTGATCATCAGTGAGTTCTCTGCCACCACTTCATGAGTCTCATCGCCAACGCAGCAACTGACCATGGACAGGCGTCAAATACAAAAACGGACACCATGTCCAAGCCCTCACCAAACACGAATTCACCGTCATTTGGAAACTCCTCTACGCCCATGTCATGTTATACGCCTTCTGCGTGACCTGCACCAAAACGTCCATTATCATGTTCTATAAACGCATCTTCAACCTTCGCTACTCTCTTTACTTTGCTATGTTCTTTATCCTGAGCTATTTCATAGTCATCATCGTCACAATCAACGTGGCATGCGACCCGATCCCGTATTTTTGGGAGCAATACACCGACCCCGATACCGCTGTCGGCAGCTGCATCGACATCCCCAAGTTCTTCTTCGGAAACGGCATCGCAGCAGTCCTGATCGACATTGTGATTCTCATCATCCCGATCCCCATTACCTGGAAACTACAGATGCCGAAAAGCCAGAGGTTGGCCGTGATCGGCATTCTATTATTGGGTAGCTTGTGAGTCGACATTCCCTTCTTGATACGGAAAAAAAAAGAGAAAAGCAAAAAGCAATAAACGACAGGCGTGGCTAACTCTCCACAGCGTCTGCATCGCAGGTATCGTCCGACTCGTCTTCCTCAACCGAAACACCCACTCGGACGATGCGACCTGGACCGTTGCGCCCGTCTTCGTGTGGTCCTGCGTCGAGCCCTCGATCGGCATCGTCTGCGCATGTCTCCCTACACTATCTCCACTGTTCCGCCGTTGGTGGTCCAGCATGGTCACCGGGAAGTCGGGAAGCGCGAGCGCGAAACAGACCGCCTCGGGGTATAACCTGAGCAGTCGGAAATCGCGACTTACGAGCCCGAGTATGACGTGGACCCATGGGGACGAGGTCGAGCTAGTGGATACGGTGATCGAGCGCAAGTCGACCTCCCTGCAACGGAAAGGCAGCGAGGGGGGCAATTCATCGCGACATTCGGGGATCCGAGTCAGAGAGGAAGTGATGATCAGCTACACGGCGGTTTGATTGGGTGGTCTACAACATTTTCATCATTCATGTATATATGACTAAGTCTTTTCTAATCAATGTATGAACTTTAACGATCAATAGTTCGCCGACACTAGCCATGAATGACGTTGACTTTGCGCGGATTTCTCTTCCGAATTGTCCACAGTCTATCGGGATGGACAAGATCGGCCTCCCCGACCAACCCCAACGTGTCTCCGAACAGAAAGGATCCCCAGAGCATGGCCTGACGTGCTCGCTTCCCTCACGAACTGGCGGCCCACTCGGTGGATTTGATATCCCCGTGGGGGCCAAATGCCAGCCTCCGACATGCTGAACGACTGAAGCGACCCGGACCAGGTCAATTGATTGAACTCTCATCTGCGACTAGGAACTGACCATACCAATAATCCAACCCAATTTACCCGAACGAAAATGCAGAACCCTGCTAGCCGTTCATGATTCATGAACTTATGTGTTGTCACCAGCCCACTTTACTAGCCTGTATCCACACGGAGTTGCCCCGTTTCGGAGAATGTCGTGTAGATCCACTTGGTTAATGACAGTCTCCAGCCTTTAGCCTCTAGCCGATATGGAAACCCACAGTGAACTCCTGAAACTGTCCTTCCGAGCCCTCCGAGTGTAACCTTGAAAGTTTTCAGGAACGTCGTTGGGAAAAGTATGGTATGATACTAGTACCTGAGGGGAAATAAATCTGGTCGTCGAGGTTAGAACTTAGGGCTCGCGATAAATCTATCAGCGTTTGTTTCAATTCCAGAACATATTCATAATGCGCAATCTAGAATCATTCCAGGGAAATAAGAAACGTTTCTCGACGCGAGTCATATTATTGATTGTGACTCGCAGCATTATTCAGGGACTATCTAAGATCTATTTAACCTTAGGCTAGGATGTTCATGTCGATCAGCTGCCGGTTGTGGTCTTGGGATATGACACCCGTCATGGCGGGCGAAGCATCGGCTAAGCTTAACACTCCGTGTCGAGTTCCATAGTTCAGATATCTGGGCGTCGGGGTTCAGGGGTCAATGTGCTTCATGGTGGAGACTATTCGCCACGCGGGGATGAACATTGCATGCATGGACTTATACTCTTTTTTGTTATTTTAAATTTTCATGTGGTAACATTGTTCAGAGAGCATGCTGTAGTGGATCTCTGGTGATCCTCAAGGGTTTTGCGCCTCCTTTCTGGTAAAGGCCGTACGTATGATTTCCAGTGATTGGGGTCATGGAATCAACGTAACCCCCGAACCGAGTTTCATAAATTTATGTAATGCCTTTGACTAATCTGTGGCTTCGCTTTGCTACTTATTGAATATAGGAGGCTTCTTGTGCTAGTTTAGAAGAATTTGACATTGTAACAAGAAAAGGCTGGAGTCTCGAGGTAGTATCATATAGTTGTAGCTGTACAGGTGAATTAAACATAGCTTTAATCGATAATATCAGTTCCACTGAGATAGCCTTGGATTACTGAGACTATGCTTCTTCTTCTCCTTAATATACTGAATACCTCGACAAATCATACCCAGAATAGACATGGTGTTCATAAACAACCCATGGATATATAAGTCATCCTAGATATAAACAACACAGTCGTCAGAGTATCACCGTACTCATTGATTGAATCATATTATGGATATTTATCTGTGCGACTGAAAATTCAGATTCCTTTACTCACAGCATATGTCTACATTTAGTTAATTCATTGACATCGGATTAGGCATAAATAAGCCCATAAGAATAACAATTTCCGCAGAGCAATGCTGGAAACTGCACCAGCATCAAATAATGTCAAAGATGCTCCCCGTACAAAAGAGGCCTTCAACAAAATCGAATCAAGCTTAAGAAAGCCAATTTCTTATATTCTTGGACTTGTCTCCGAAGGCCTATTTCGAAGCACGGCTAACTTCTTCTAAGGATCCACGGGAAATGCTATACAATAAGTACCCCCTTACCAAACTATCTCACTATCCAAACCACCGCCTAGTGGGTGACTTCGATAACAATCTTGCCGACATGCTGCCCAGACTCAAGCCTCCGGTAAGCCTCGCGATATTCCGCAAATGGGTAAACCCGATCAATAACAGGCCGTGTTTTGTGCCTCTCCATCGCTGTAAGCATCGCCTCGAAATCCATTCGCGAACCAATAGTTGACCCGGTTACTGTCAGGGTTCGAACAAGTATGTCAATCGGCGGAAAGCCGCCGCCAAAACCGCTTGCAAAGCCTACCACGACAACCACGCCAGTTATCTTAGTCGACGCCGCAGACTTCACGATAGTTTTCTCTCCAGCAATATCTAGCACCCTATCAACACCCTTTCCATCAGTCAGAGCAAGAATCTCGCGATCCCAGTCAGGACAGGTGCTATAGTTCACGACAGCGTCGGCGCCTAATTCCTTGAGCTTAGCGGCCTTTTCGTCCGATGACGTGATCGCAAGCACACGAGCGCCGAAAATCTTTGCAAACTGCAGGGCAAAAAGCGAGACGCCCCCGGTGCCCTGGATCAGAACCGTCTGGCCCGGCTGGAGGGGCTCGATCTTGTTCAGCGCCGTCCAGGCTGTGACAGCTGCGCAGGGGAGCGACGCCGCCTCGGTGTAGGTCATGTAGTCCGGGATTGGGACGAGTGCGTCTTCATAGAAGAGCGCATATTCAGCCAACATCCCGTCGATACTGAAGCCGACGCTGTTGAATCGATAGTCTGGGTTATATGGGCCGCCGATCCAGTTGGCGAAGCAACTAACGGTGACGCGGTCGCCTTTCTTGACTCGTGTTACGTCTTTGCCAGCTGCAACAACCTCGCCAGCACCGTCAGATACAGGGACAACGCCCTTCTTGGTCGCTGCGGGATATTCCCCCCTCAGCAGGGCCGTGTCACGGTAGTTCAGTGAGGCCGCGTGCACCCTAATCAGCACTTCATGGCGACCTGGGGTTGGTAGGGGTTCGTCGCGGATTTCTGCGCCGGCTTTACTACCCGCGGTGATAACACGGACGGCTTTCATTTGTTCCATAGTTGGAGGGCTTCAGCTCTGCTCGGGCTTGGCTTGTTTGGATAAGTGATTGCGAGAAAGAGGGTTGAGATATGATGGCAGGATGCAAGAGGGAAGAAGATTGGCCTGTAAATTCCTTGACTCTTTATACTTGTAGGAGATCCTAGGTTATGTTTAGAATGGGATCTCCGGACAGATGGTGGGTTCTCCGATGGTGACAAATCTACAAGCATCCATACTATCAGTTCTTAAGATGAAGAATAATTCAATTAATAATCCAACATAAGTCTTACTAACTCATCTTAGCTAGGGAAAGCTAATTAACTCTTGCTAAACTATCTTACCGGAGTACTCAGATAGAATTATCCACCGGGCCGTTATGTACATTTCATAGTAATGTCCCGGATCCGATATAGAATCGGGCCGGTGGGCACACACATCCCCCGAACCCCGGCCATGATATTTACATATAGTCTTAACGGGATCCCACAATCCTCTTTAAAGATACTTATATCTAAGCTTTTATCTTTTACAAAGAGCATATAGTAGAGCAGCTTCATGCTATCATCACAGAGAATTATATATGTACTTCCCAATAGCATGTTTAGCAGCGGATCTATAAATTATAAAAATCGCTTAAATCGCTCGATTTCTCTTATCCCTACGCCTGATCCTCCACTCGAAGAGATAAAATAAAATCACCTATATTGCTATGTTTTTATTATTATAATTCTAGCGAGCGCATCAACGCGTTAATATACCTTCTAACTAAAATATTAGCAAAAGGTATATACGGCGCTTGGCTAGCTCCCTAGAATACTACTAATATAATCTACGGCTACATTGGGTTAGGTTAATGGGATCTAGTTTAACCGCGACCAATATATATTGAGAGAGACAGAGACATGCCAGAATGAACCAACGGAAGTCTCACGGATGGCGGGAAGACCCGAAGGGCACTGACATTTACTTTCAACAGCGACTTTGGAGGTTGGCGAGGCTATAAAGTAGAACTTTCCCTCCACCCCCCTTCTCCGAATTCATTTGTTCATGGCAACGGTCAAGATGAGCTTGGACATCATTCCTAACTGGCTTCGGATGTACGTTTCTCTAATGATAGCAAGAAGCCTACATTGACACCGCACACAGTATCCTCCTAATTTCAAGCGTTGCCTCCTTTTTGCCACAGTTGCAGCGAATATGGTATACGAAGCAGTTCACCGGCCTGTCGCTCTCATATGTCCTCTGCAACTTGATGAGTGCTACAGAGCAGTTTACCCTCCTGTTCTTTCTACTCGTTAATAAGACAGAGGACGCCGATGTCATCCAAAAGACAACTGGAGATTGGATCAACCTTGCTCAGCTGGCGGCTGTTTGGATGCTATGGCTTTTATTGTATAGTGTAGCCCCTACTGAAGCTTCGCGCGCAGCTGTTAATATCTACCACGTTTTCTCTGGGCCTCTACTACCCGTCCGACCAGCACAGTCGTGAACGCAAGATTTCTAGTTCAATCATGTACACCATGCTTTTGCTTGTCTCTATCGTCCCTGTTGTTGCTGATGCCATTGATTATTATCTTCTCAGCGCCGGAGAGGATGCAGCATACCGCGACTTCGGGCTTGATATCTTTGGTGGATACCACTTCGGCTATATTCACCCGGCGATGACACTAGTAGGAATTTATGCCTGGTTTCCGCAGAATCACGAGCTTCGCTCTCGAGCCCAGCTTCACTCCCTCAGTCAGACCGGTCTAGCCGTACAAGCGGTGATCTTCGCTTTCGTCGCTATCTCGTGGACCATGAGGATGAATTTATACGACAGCAACCTTCCAGATCTACCTTTCTGGGCTACCATCCCCGAATGGTTCATCTATGTTTGGTGGGCGGCAGTGGATAATATACTATTTGCGTTGGTTCAGACTAGCCTGTATCTCAAGATACGTCGCCATGAGCAATTCTCTACGGATCAAGAGACGCAACCTTTGCTCGCAGAAAGTGCGTCAGAAAGTGAAGAATAAGAATCTCTATATACTTATAATACTACACTAGTAAATGAGAAGAAAAAAAAAAAAAAGAACTAAGTTGTTGCTGGTACTGTAGAATTATTCCTTCCCGATAATGCGAAATTCAATCGCATTCGACGCCGGTATCTCGAGTTTAGGTCAACCTCCATTGTCCGCCGGGTCAGTCACCTTTCCACAAGGATGCGGTGGTATCTTGACAGTTGTATCGGCATATTTCTCTACGGGCCACGGCTACTGTCCTGAAAAGTGGTGCACGGAAACAATGCTGGACGCTTACATCCCGACTAGTTCCCCCCTCGACCCTCCAACTTGTACCGAAGGCGGCGGCGAAGGTAACCTCGCCGGCCTCTGTAGTTACGCCTGCTAAACTTCGGCTTCTGCCCCAAGGAGCATTACTCCTCCACCTCAACAGGTCCGCTCATCCAACCTCCCGCCCAGGTAAGCAGCAAGGGCAATCTCCCTTGTCGGATCCGACTCCGATCTCTGCAAACTTCGCCTGTACACGCGGCTACTGCCCAGAGGGCGTCTGCGCCCAGATAACCCCAATCTGGGCCACTAAACAGCTGTGACGCAGGCCAGAAAGCAATAATCCTCGCGGAGATGGGAGCTGCGATTGAGATGGCCGGCCAGACTCGCGATAATCTCCAGACAGGACAATACTATTACTATATCTAGCGGGGGAAAATCAGTCTAAGAGACTCCAAGCAGTCAGGGCGAACACAAGGATCCACATAGATAGATCCTTTGCTCGGCGATACTCGATTTTGATCATATCAGTGTCTCTTATACGCTAACAATAAATACGAAGCATCGACTATATAAGCCCTGCCCTATCCCCACTATGTATCCAGATCCATCCTCTGTTTTTCACGACACACATCTTTCGTCCCAGCTGAGGCCAATCCTGAAATCCCAGTCTCCTGGACTATGGCTAATAACATGGATGCTGCTTATACCCTCGATGAAAAACACCCAGTCAAAATTGAAAGTCTTCCAATCTCAACCCCAGAATGTCAGGCTGACATAGATAAAAACTCTGCCGAGATGGATGCAACCCTAGTAGCCGACATCTATAAGCTACTGAAAGAGGCCGAATCCCCAGATTTCGACAGTCGATGGCGAGAAAGCCCTTCCGAGGCGTTAAGCCCGTCTACCCAGCACGCGGCATGCACATATCGACGGACTCTCTGCCTCGGACTAAAAGGCTTACTAGGGGAAATCATGATTCCCGATAGCCAAGTCTGGCAGGATGCAGTTGCCTACTGCCGAGCAGTCATCACAGCCCCCGAGGATTCCATCGCCCGGGCCAATTCGTACTGGATCAGATCATCTTCCGACGTCAGCAAAGCACACCTGCAACGATTCGGCCCAGGGATCGTTGCTGCAGCGCGGAGGGGCGCTTCCGAGATCGTCTCCGACCACTTCCACGGAGACCGACTGAAAGTGCCCCATATCGATAAGCGACAGAGCTTCTACCGGAATGCGCGAAATACGAACCTGGGTGCGTTGTTTTATCCGTCTTCAAGCCCCCTGGCGGTTGGGGCCTTTGAATCGGGAATAATACCGTGCTCGCTGGCTATGCTGGCCTTTCTGGACCCGGAGACGGCGGTCAAAGCGGCGTCGCTTTCTGGTGTGGCCATCTCCGATGACTATGCTGCGTTCTCGCGGGACGATTGTGCGTTTCGGCTGCGGATCGTGGGCTTTGCGCTTGGATGCGCGTATGACATTGGTGGGCAGTTGGTTAATGCACTCATCGATGGGAGTATGCTGCAATGTGTCGGCACCGGTGACCAGCTCTCGCTCGACGCTGCTAGGGCATGGAGAGCCATCAGTGGCTGTACGTCACCCAACAGTGGGTATATATTCGGCAAGGAAAGCTTGGAAGAGGGCCTTGTGATCACGGAGGTTGAAACGGCGATGCACGACTTGCTGGATTGGAGGTCTGATGTAGCGGCTGGGAACCATGAGAATGGCGTTTCGGCAGCATACGGATTGGGCATCCAAGACCCTTTTCACGCGTATCTGGAGGCGATGTTGCAGCGAGCAACGTCTAATCCGAGGTCTGGTTGTTATGCGATTGGGGCCATAATGTATATGCACTTTGCAAGTGTGAGATATGGGTCGTATGACTATCGCGGCACACATGGGGCGCCATGCGCTGAGTGTGTTCGCATTCTGAGAAACGTGACAATTGGTGCAGGGCTGGTCTGGGCCCCAAAACCGCCTCCTAGATGTTTTGAGGACAGCGCCGATATCAGGAAGCTGGGGAAGATTTGGATTGATGAATTCAAGGACGGTGGTTTGGTTCAAGAAGGTCTCGGCTGGTTTCAGCATCTGGTGTCGACGGGAGAAATTCGACTATTCGATGTCCTGAATCCGATTAATGAGGTTGATACTGGCGCCGATTGGGCCTGACAAGGTAGACTTTGTACTTGTCGTCTGTGATTGTATACCAGATCTCGAAGTTGGTACGGTCACGTTTCATCTCGTACTTATTGTTCTCATAGCATTATTGATCTTTAGAAGAGGTACAATCGATGAAGCGCTAAAACCTGTATATAGTCTGATAATTAACAATAAAGGAAGAACTAAAGATACGAAATACAACCCAGAACTAGGACACGCAATTCCTTTTGGGCCTTACGATAGCCAACACCAATCCAATCCCACTAATCCACCACATACTTTCCCATCTGCAAAGGAGACTATTCACCGAGCGTCGTCGTTTAATTGGAATAAGGTTTCAGGAACTGAGTGTTGTCGACTTAGGGTTGCAGGTATAGATGCCCGAAGCGGAAACCTATCGGTGGACCTTTTGTTCGTTGATATAGACTCCTATCACTGGAAATTGGCTCCACTAGTAGTTGGTACCCTATCAGAGGGTTGTCTGGAGGTTTCAAAAAATTATTCTGAATCCGTGTCTCCACTGTAAGGAGTTGTTGGGTTGAGGCGCTATATTTGGAGGGATTATAACCGTGAACTAGGGTTCGAAGGAGTTCGCTGAGCGAGACTTTGGGAGATAGCAATAAGCTGTGTTTAGAGATAAGTCGGTAGAAAGTAGCGGAGAAATATAATTAATTCATTCAATGATTGAAGAAATACATCAGCCAAGCGGAAACAGGACGATAGTATGACTTAAGAGAAATAAAATCGCCAAACTCACGCCATACAGGCCCAATCGGAAGTAGAATACAGCGTACAGAGGGAAAGATTAGCATCTGACATCGAGCAGACTGATAAACCCCTCTTCAGCTGATCCAGAGAAGAAAATCAATGCCGGGGATTGTCGGCAAGCTCCTTATACGTGGACAGCAAACGCCCTAAGTTAGCCGCCAATCAATCCGGTTGTTTGCTTCCCAACTCCGCCGGCTCTTTGGGTATCTACAAATGTCTCCCTACCAAGGGTTACTATCGGGGGGGCAAACAGTATGGTAAATTTCATCATCGTAGTTTCCGAAAACGACACTGCTTTATAGCGGTGGGTGTCTGCTAGTTCGAGGACTGCGGATGCTCTGGTATATTCTTGTCTGCTATTTCCTATGCGCCGCCTTCATCTATGAGAGTTTTACAGTGCATATGTATATGGACCCGCACAGTTCGTGAACAGTTGTGGGAGGGTGAAGCTTGAGATCTTTTTGGCTTGAGGTATCTTGGCTCAGTGTCCTATATTGATGGGAATTTTTAACTTTAAGGTTAGGCTTTCGGTTAGCAGCCAGTTCTTCACGGGGATCGTCATAGCCTTTGGATACGTCCAAAACTGTGAAGACACATTCGTATCGTGGGTATAAGAAATGCTCGCTGACAAAGGGCAGATGTGTGAGAACGTGCGAGGTCGGTTCGGGGTCTGTGGCCACGAAGCCACAGTATACATCGCGAGATGTGCGGTTGCCCTGCAGAACCAAGTGACGTGTCCACCCAACCAGCGCCAAGACGTTTGGGACTGGCAGGAGGATAAGGATAATGAAGAGTGTCCAGCATGCAGGGGGCAAACGCCACCCGAGACACCTTGACGAGAGAGACGCGAACAGGGACAGAAAGGGAAAAAATATGGAGTGCTGCCTTGACATGTAGTTCACGCCTGGAGCAATGAATTCCTCATGCCAGCCACTAGTTTCTGTTCCAGTCTTCCGCCCCATGTATATGAGTTGGCTCGGGCCTTTGCGGAGTCAATCCATTGCGGGCGTGGAATGAAAATCCTAACACTAGAGTAAGCCGTGTAGCCCGGAAGGAATGGGTGGCGACGCTCCTACCAATTGTCTCCCTGGCGGCTAGCCAGATAGACTTGATGGGGGATCTGCGCAACCTCGTCCGCGCCGAGTTCTCCACGAACGTTCAAGTCGAAGATAAACCAGCGCTTCACCGGCTTGGCCGAGTCGAAGTCCGCGGGAATATGGACGTGGTCGTACCCAGCAGGTTGGAGCGATGCATGGAATTCTCGGTTTAAGACCTCCTCGCAGAACGCACTCCCTAGAGTATTATGGCGTCGCTGTGGATCACCACCGATATCAGTGACGCAGGCAGAGATGATGACTCGCATTGGGCTCTCCATCGTGATCTGAATCCATCAGCGTCCCAAAGCAAACAGTTCCCATTTCTTTTGAAGAAGCATTCTGTGACTTGGACCTGAAAGGATGATGATTTGCACTGGCAGTACAGACGGGTCCGGATTAATTCATCACCGATCTTGTCTCATTCATTGTTTGTTTCACTTGACATGGATCAGCATCCCAAGATCAGCTCTTTTTAATCTCGCTCCAGGATCCGTATCCATTCCTCTCTCTCAGCAGAATTCGATGGCGCGCTGGTGGTGTTTAAATGGCTGAACGTCGGCGAGTCATGTCCATAGTTTGTTGGTTGCAATTTGATTGGCACTAACTCTAATTAGTTTAGAAGGCTTCAGGTTTGATTAAATGCCCCTTGAAAGTTGACACTGAAGAGAAGATTGCGAGTGGGCCAGAGGGCTGTACCCTTCCCCTTTTCGGCATCAACGCAAGTCACTAGTCTTCGCCAGACCCTAATAAAGTCTAGATCGATGCAAGGCAATAGACTTCTTCGTTGCAATGATTGGATTATAATCATTTTGGTGGGTAAGTTCTTTTGCTTCATCGCTTGTATTTTACAATATATAAGCATTGAACAGGTTATAATCTTATTGACACTACATACTATCCAGACCACCTCGTCACCTGCAACGACAGTTTGCTATATTGGCAGCACATTGTAGCATAAATCTATAGCATGCATAAAGCTAATACATCTGTCTCACAGACATAGTCGAGGAGATGTACGTCATTATCTACACAAAGCTTGGTCATTTAGGAACTTCAATCCCGCCGTACGACAGAACCACTTGATGTAACAATAGGAGATCATTCAGGAACTTCAATCCCGCCATACGAAAGAGATACCTATGTGATAACAGGAGGAGAAGATGAGCTCATAACAACACACAGCCATTCCCCCTCTCGCGCATGCATTGTATTATAAGTATGGCAGCCCAACGCAGTCCAGCTGTGGAAAGGTGTTTCGTTGTCGTTGTAGTTCGGTACAACTATTTACTACTACAAACAACCTCCCAGAAGTTAGGATGGGATTTTGGAAGGCTCTCACTCGTTCCAAGACCCAGTCAAAGTCCTCGGCCCCCGATGAAGCCTCTCCAGAAACGCGTGAGATAATTACGACCCCAATGCCAACTTTGCAAATTCAGACCTCTGAGATAACATGACACAGGAAAGACAGAACCGCCGGCACCCAAGACAAAAAAGAAGAACCCTGAAAAGTGTTTTGACGAGTGTACAGCATGTATGTCAATCGTGGAGCGTAGTGCTACCTTGCAACCCACATGCTCCCACCGTTATTGCCGTCCCTGCATAACCAGAATGTTCGAGTGCTCCGTCAACAGCAGTGGTTGCTTCTTGCCTCCAACATGTTGTCGCAAGGTCATTCCGGTCTGGCTCGTCTCTGGATGCCTAGGGGAGGACATGACCAAACGTCTCAAAGAAAGAATGGCGGAGTATAAAGATCCTAGGAAAACATATTGTTTCAATGCGAGTTGCGCACGCTATCTTGCTCCTTCTCCCCGCCACGATCGCTCCAGGGCATGCAGTCATTGCCTGCAGAGCACTTGTACCTCGTGCAAAGGACCCTCCCACCAAGGGCGGTGCAACAGTAATGTCTCTACTGTTCGAGACAACGGAACCAAAGAATTTCTTAAGTTGGCGAAGAAGGAAAAGTGGAGGAATTGTCCAGGGTGTCACCGGATGCTGGAACGCTACGAAGGCTGCCAGCATCTGTAGTGAGTCGAACCCCTTTCAGGCATTGTCTTCCCCAGTAGATGCTAATCGTTCTAAGCTGTTTGTGCGGTACTGCCCTCTGTTATAGATGTGGAAACAGATTATTGACGTGCATATGTAAGTTTGGACAAGCAGTGAAACGACATTGGTAAGAACGAGACGTTCCATTGAGCTTCTTCCGTTCTATTTCTTCGCTTAATTCCCTACCTGTCAGGGAGTAAGTTCAAATTGATCCAATTTTCAATGAGAAATAAGTTTTGCTCCTGGGCATTAGCCTTGTAGTCTACACAGGTACTTGAATCTGCTGGCGTAGTGTATACATTCAATCGTCCTTTATGCTTTATGTACATGTCGCAATTCAGAAGTCCAACGCATCCACTTGTCCCAGGAAAGAATTATTACCCTCCCCACGCAGTAGAGCCTCGATATCAACTCGTCCTGAAGTCAGATACCGCTCGCTCACACCCACATTCACTCTCTGGGAGAGTAATTGCTTCAGTTCGGCGCGCATTCCCGCCAGTTCACCTTTGGAAGTGCTTCCAGCCTTCCGTTCCCGTTCCTGTCGTCCGCGTCCGCGTCCGCGCCCGCGCGCTGCGGCATTATCGAACTCCTCGCTGTCGTAGTCAACGCCTAGATCTTCTGCAGCCGTGCGGAGCCAGTTGTCCTCGGATGACACCTTCTCTTTGGCGATATTGGAGTCAACGATCCGAGCCGCTAAAGTGACTCGTTGTTTGACACGAGATACGACCCGACGGTCTAACTCTAACGATTCGAGAGGGACCTTCTTTCGGTTGGCCATGTTCGCATGCACCTTTGCAGCGAGTCGGACCACACCGACCATTTCGTCCGGAGAGCAGATGATGACACTCTTTCCCGATGCTCCAGCACGCGCGGTACGACCAGAGCGGTGGACGTATGCGTCCGCAGTGCGAGGTGCGTGGTAATGAACTACAAAGTCAATACCCTTTATGTCGAGTCCACGCGCAGCAACGTCGGTCGCGACAAGAATGGAGCTAGGGTCTGATGATGGAGAGGAGAACCGCTCGACGGAACGAAGTCGCGCCTTTTGGGCCATGGATGAGTGAAGAGCAAGGGCTGGGAGTTGAAGGGCTTGTAAGAGCT